CTGGTCAGTTTCAGCAGCGGCTGAATCTGAACGCCAGTTCTGACTTAAGTACAAATTCAACTTAAGTACAAACCTACAGTCCCTATCTTGTACGTAACCCGGGGACTGCCTGTATAGTGAATAAGGAATCAGGATGAGGACTTACAGCAGTTAGTCAAGGTCACATGAAATATGTAGATCGTACATACATCCTGACAGTGCATTGTACTACCTCATAGCCCATGGACCAAATTCTGATCTAATTTACAACACCAGTGTAGACGCAGAGTAAATTTAATTGATCTTAATGGATTTATTTTGCATTCACACCAGTTCAAGTGAATGCAGATCTGGCCTGTTAAAATCATGCTGGTGGATATGTCAGTGCATTGCGGTAATGCAGAAAGGTAAGATGTGATGAAGGAACAAAAGTGTATTCTCCCAGGAAATAACAGATGTAGTAGTATTTGGATGCTGCTTTGGACTAAGTAATATGACTGCAGAACCTGCACCCCGCTCGGTACAATGGCATAGTCACCTGCCGTGTATTTCAAGTTTCTCTGTGTGTAAAAGGGAGTCTAGCTTGTACCACCATATGCATCACTTCTGGATTTTGCCCCCAATGCTCCATGCTTTAGTGTCAGGCTTTTTATGTGAAAACCATAAAATAATGAAATCAAGGAAACACATGTCCCAAGCTTTAAAACACATGCCTGGTGCTTCTGGATATTGGGATTTGCCTGAGCTCCTCCACAGGATGCAGAGATTGACTGGAGAACAGGGCAGAGCTGTTCCTTGTGCAAAGCAAGACAGAAGATGTCGGGAAGGTTGTTCCAGCCAGGAGAATAGGGCTGGAATTCATACTGGAAAGCAATCAGAAGTCAGACTTTTCCAGACAGAAGCCAGACTAAAGCCTCCACCAGTCGCAGGAAGGCAATGCAGAGTGAGGAGAATAAAAAGGGGAAGTTTTTGTCTCAGTTCCCCGCCCTGTTGCATCACTGTGTACAGTGAACCACTGCTACCCGTGTACACAGCACAGTAATAATCAGCATCGTCCTCTACCTGGACCCCGGTGATGGTCAGGGCAGCATCGTTACTGGATATGGCCCCAGAGAACCGGGTCTCTTGGTAGTTTCATAGATAAGCATCAGAGGTGCAGAACCTGGTTTCTGCTGGTACCAGGAGGGATAGTTGCCTGTAGTGATGGCTCCAGTGCTCAGGCTGCAGGACAGCGTGACGGCCCCTCCTGGGGTCACCGACATGGAGGGCTCCTGCGTCACCACAGGCTGTGAACTGGCCACTAAAAGCAACAGTACAAACACATTGTTATTTATTCAATTATTATATTGATTGAAAAGTCACTTTCTCCATAACAACCACACAGAACATAAAACCACTCCACTGACCTGAGCAGTAAATGAGCAGCGCAAGGATAAGAGGGGTCCAGGCCATGATGGGGAATCCAGATTAGCTCTGCTTCCTGGGAGAGGTCTGTGGTTGAGACCCTCCGATTCTCTTTTAAATCCCCACCACCGGGGAGTGGCCCTTTTATGTAAATCAGCTCTCTCCTCATTGGCTATAGAGCATGTTCTGCAGATGATAATTTTTTTTAAAGGAAGATGAGGCTCCAGAAAGGTCAAAGAAGAAGGTGGCATGAAAAGTGCAAATCTCAGACAGACAATTTAGTGACATTTCTCCAGCCACACAGAATTCTTTGGTGATGGCACAGCTCCTCACCTCACTAATGCCAGTCCAGAGGCAAGCAGGATTTGACTCCAGATGCTTAGGAGACACTCTAGCAGAGTAAGGCACAGGGCAGCGCAGCTCAGTAGCTTAATGATATGAAGATTGCTGAGTACACTCTGTAGCACGCAATCCGAGTGTGTTGGCCATGTCTGTCTTCCCAGAAATACAAGAAGCCTCAATCATTGTTTCACACCTTGTACACAGACATTTAGGGGGTTATTAAAACAGCCCAGCTTGACTGATGTTTGCT